CTTCATCCACACACAGATGTCAGATGACATTAAAATCGCTGTCCAGCACTCGGTGGAGTGCTCAGGGCAGAGTCAATCAAGGCACTGTGGAGAAATGACATCCACATTCGAGAGGCCTTCGGTGGTGTGTGCAATGATGATAATGGACTACGTGCTAAATTGGACACCTTAGAGATGGTGTTCATGGCACATTTCTGGGACGTCGTGCTTGACCGGTTCCACGCGACAAGCATGCACCTACAGACAAGTGGCGTTGACTTCTCTGTAGCAGTGCAGCTTTTGTGTTCGTTGAGGGATTTTGTGGCGGAACAGCGAAACCAGTTTGAGGCTTTTGAAAGGGCAGCCTTAAATGTGACAGGTGTCTCTCAGTCATCTGAGCACGATCTTCAGCGAAAGAGGAAACGCAAAACATTTGCAGATGAGGGGAGGGAGAAGTTAAAAATAGAAACATTTTGTGTGGTCACTGATAAGCGAGTGGCATGCCTTGAACATCGCTTTGACGCTTACAAGCATTTGACCGGTCTCTTTGGATTTCTGTTGATGTCAGATCAGGTGTCTAACAGTGATGTCATAGTGGACAAGGTAAATGCACTCGCCGCTGCATATACATCACATCTGGACATGAACTTTGCCAATGAACTCATCCAATTCAAGTCTCTCATGTCTGAGGGTGAGAAGTGCCCAACTAAATTGCTTGAGACGTTGTAGGCACTTCATCTGCAGTCGGTGTTCCCCAATGTTTTCGTGGCACTTTGGATTTTTCTAACTTTGCCAGTAACAAACTGCCAGGGTGAGCGGATATTTCCCTTTTAGGCAGAATAAAAAATGAGCTGTGGAGTAGCGTGTTGCCAAACACATCTCAGCTCACTGTCACTCATGTCAACAGTCGGACCTTGTCAGACAGCGAGATTTTTACCATCTAGTGGATGATTTTGCGAGGAGGAAGGCAAGAAAGACACCAATATAGAAAAGCGGGGGGGGGGGGGGGGGGGGGCTCCAAAAGACATTTGGGGCCTCACGGGACCATGATCTGGCCCTGCTGGTACCAGCGGTGTCAAGATCGGCTTCTATGGAGGAGGCTCATGAAGGGCGCTACTGGACAGTTGAAGGCAGTTGCCTTCCACAAACAGCAGAGGGCAGAGGAGCGACGTTCACAACAACGAGCGGAGCGCCGTGTGGCTAAAGCATAGCAAGTTGGCACAGTAGGGGGCACAGGTGGTGCATCGGCCACTCATCTCAGTCAGTCAACCGGTGGCACCAATGTCTGTCCCGTGACCTCCTGTCGGCGAGCGTTCGACACTTCACGTGACCTTAACGTGCACATTCCCGGCACAAGCGCCGTGGTGACATCACCGCCACTTAGTGGCGGATGGCGGTCGTCGTTGTTGTGTGTGTGCGTGTGCGCGCGTGTCTGTGTGCGTGCGTGAGCGTGCCCGTGTGTGTGTGTGCGTCCAGGTACAGCGAGGAGCGTGGCTGGGAGCTGCTGTGGCTGGCGCTGGGCTCCTTCCCACCCAGCAACCTGCTGCTGCCCCACGTGCAGCGCTTCCTGCAGGCGCGGCGCCACCACCCCGTGGCCCTCGACTGCACGCACCGCCTGCACAAGACGCTGCGGTGAGCTCACCCCCCCAGACGCACGCGCGCGCCTCCTCCCCCCCCCAAACAGTGCCACAGTGGAGCAAGATGTTAACTACCTCGCCTGGTACGCAGGAGGTCGTGGGTTCAATCCCGACCATGATGCCTGCTGCTGTATATTTGGAGTTTTCGCGACCAGTATCATCCATAATAAAGGTTTTTTGGGTTGGACCTCGTATCTATCCAACCCAAACAACCTGTATTATGGTTATATATTTGGAGTTTGCGTGTCTCTTTCCCCGTGGTTGCGTGGATTTTTCTCCGGTTCCCCCGTTTTTTTTCCCTCTCCGTTTAGAATCAACGTCACGCATTTAGAGTATTTACTGGGCTTCTACTATACATTAGTAGCAAACAAAAGCTCCACCTCATGAGCCACTTCGTTGAGCTATCATTTGTGGCCAGGACGCTTCTGGAAAAGAGGGCCTTACCTGGTAACATAAAAAAGTTTAGTTTTTTGTTTAAATGCACGAGCGTGCCTGGCGGTGTACGGGTCACGTGTTTTCTGGCACTGCCCGTGCGTGTGGTGCTGTACGCTTTGTTGGATCAAACGCGTCCGTGCGGTAGCACGTGTGTGTGGTTCGTGTGTGGGGTGTTGTGGGGAGCGGTAGTGTAGCGGTTAGCGCGCTGCGCTACGAACCCGGCGACCCGAGTTTAATTCCCGCTCACGGCCAACACCAGTGCGGATTATCCGAACGGGTTTTGGGCCTCCCCTAGGTCAACTCGGTCACAAATGGGTACCTGCTGCGGTGTGTAAAACATCGCCACTGGAAAGACAAAGGCGGCCGGGCGTGATGCTGGCGTGATGTTGGCCACCGACCCCCTCGTGCGCCGTGCCGGCCTTCATAGGTGCTTGCAAACAGCACTTGCCCCTACAGTCTGTTAAGGCTATACGGGGGATCTTTGCCTTTTGTACGCGGTGCGGCATGCGTGTGGCACGTCCGGTGTGCGTGGTGTGTGCGGTGTGCGTGCACGGTGTGTATGTGGTGTGTGCGGTGCATGTGGTGTGTGGAGTATGTGGTGTGTGTATGTGGTGTGTGTGGTGTATGTAATGTATGTGGTGCATGTGGTGTGTGCGGTGTATGTGGAGTGTGTGTTGCGTGTGGTGGTGCGCGTTGCATACTGCCGTGTGGTGTGTGCGGTGTGTGTGGTGCGGTGTACGTGTGGTGTGTTGTGCGTGTGGTGTGTGCGGTGTATGCGGTGCGGTGTACGTGTGGTGTGTTGTGCGTGTGGTGTGTTGTGCGTGCGGTGTGTTGTGCGTGCGGTGTGTGTGGTGTGTGCGGTGTGTGGTGTGTTGTACGTGCGGTGTGTGCGGTGTGTGTGGTGCGATGTGCGTGTGATGTGTTGTGCGTGCGATGTGTTGTACGTGCGATGTGTGCGGTGTGTGTGGTGCGATGTGCGTGTGGTGTGTTGTACGTGCGGTGTGTGCAGTAACGGCTCGCGGAAGTCCCCACCGCACGTGGTGGAGGTGGAGGCGATCCAGCACAAGACCACGCAGATCTTCCACAAGGTCTACTTCCCTGACGACACGGACGAGGTGGACTTGCTCGCTCACTCACTCACACGCTCACTCATCCGCACGCTCGCTTACTCACTCGTTCACTTACTCAATTGCTCTCTCACCCACTCGCTCACTTGCTCACTCGCTCACTCACACGCTCACTCACCCACACGCTCGCTCACTCGCTCACTTACTCACTCGTACTGTCACCCACTTGCACGCTCACTCACTCGCTCACTCACACGCTCACTCACACACTCACTCACCCACACACTTGCACACTCACTCGCTCACACACGTGCGTGTGTGGATTCGTGCGTGCGTGGATTCATGCGTGTGTGTGCGTGCGCGTGTGTACGTGCGTCTGTGTGTGGGAGGGAGCGGTGGTGCAGTGGTTAGCGCTACGCTGCACTATGAACCTGGCAATCCGAGTTCAATTCCCGCTCACGGCCACCAACACCGGTGACGGTTTTCTGAACCGGTCCTGGGCCTACCCTAGGTCGACTCAGCCTCAAATGAGTACCTGGTGCGGTGTGTAAACATTGCCACTAGGGAGACAAAGGCGGTCGGGCGTGGTGCTGGCCACCCACCCCCTCGTGTACCGTTCCGGCCTTCATAGGTGCTCGCTAACAGCACTTGCCCCTACAGTCTGTTAAGGCTATATGGGGGATCTTTGTATGTGTGTGTGTGTGCAGGCGTTTGAGGTAGAGTCGTGTACGCGTGTGTGTGTGTCTGTATGTGTGTATGTGTGTATGTATGTGTGTGTGTATGTGTGTGTCTGTGTGTCTGTATGTGTGTGTGTATGTGTGTATGTGTGTGGGGAGCGGTAGTGTAGCGGTTAGCGCGCTGCGCTATGAACCTGGCGACCCGGGTTCGATTCCCGCTCACGGCTAACACCAGTGACGATTATCTGAACCGGTCCTGGGCCTCCCCTAGGTCGACTCAGCCTTAAATGAGTACCTGGTGCGGTGTGTAAACATCGCCACTAGGGAGACAAAGGCGGTCGGGCGTGGTGCTGGCCACCCACCCCCTCGTGTACCGTTCCGGCCTTCATAGGTGCTCGCTAACAGCACTTGCCCCTACAGTCTGTTCAGGCTATACGGGGGATCTTTATGTGTGTATGTATGTGTGTGTGTCTGTGTGTGTGTCTGTATGTGTGTGTGTATGTATGTGTGTATGTGTGTGTGTATGTGTGTGTGTGTCTGTGTGTGTGTTTGTGTGTGTATGTGTGTCTGTATGTATGTGTGTTTGTGTGTCTGTGTGTCTGTGTATGTCTGTGTGTATGTGTGTGTGTCTGTGTGTGTGTGTGTGTGCAGGCGTTTGAGGTAGAGTCGTGTACACGTGTGTGTATGTGTGTGTGTCTGTATGTGTGTGTGTGTATGTGTGTGTGTGTGCAGGCGTTTGAGGTAGAGTCGTGTACACGTGTGTGTATGTATGTGTGTGTGTCTGTGTGTGTGTCTGTATGTGTGTGTGTGTCTGTGTGTGTGTGTGCAGGCGTTTGAGGTAGAGTCGTGTACACGTGCCAAGGACTTCTGTGGGAGCATCGCAGCGCGTCTGCACCTCAAGAGCGCCGAGGGATTCAGCCTCTTCGTCAAGATCGCAGACAAGGTCCCCTACCACCACCACCACCACAGCAGGGGTCCCCCACCACCACCACCACCACCACAGGGGTCCCTCACCACCACCACCACCACCACAGGGGTCCCCCACCACCACCACAGGGGTCCCCTACCACCACCACAACAGTAGGGGTCCCCTACCACCACCACCACAGCAGGGGTCCCCCACCACCACCACAGGGGTCCCCTACCACCACCACCACCACAGCAGGGGTCCCCCACCACCACCACCACCACAGGGGTCCCCCACCACCACCACCACCACAGCAGGGGTCCCCTACCACCACCACCACCACCACAGGGGTCCCCCCACCACCACCACAGGGGTCCCCCACCACCACCACAGGGGTCCCCACCACCACCACAGGGGTCCCCCCACCACCACCACAGGGGTCCCCCACCACCACCACAGGGGTCCCCCACCACCACCACAGGGGTCCCCCACCACCACCACCACAGCAGCAGGGGTCCCCCACCACCACAGGGGTTCCCCACCACCACAGGGGTCCCCCACCACCACCACCACCACCACAGGGGTCCCCCACCACCACCACCACAGGGGTCCCCCACCACCACCACCACCACAGGGGTCCCCCAGCACCACCACAGGGGTCCCCCACCACCACCACAGGGGTCCCCCACCACCACCACCACCACCACCACAGGGGTCCCCTACCACCACCACCACAGGGGTCCCTCCCCACGGGGCTTCTTCTCTTCAGGGGCCCCTCTCTCTAGGAGCCCCTCTATGAGTATGGTAGGCGCATCTTACATGGGAAGCCAGTGGTCCGTAGGAAGATCAGCTCCACGGCAGGTCCCGCTGTCAAGGACATGGGCCCACAGCCGCACACCCTTAACCATATGCAGGGACTCCTCGACTTGTGAACGAGTTCGGTTCCACAGGTCTGTTCGTAAGTCGATTTGTTTGCGAGTCCAACTTTACTCCCCCGTGTTGAGTGTACACTCAACACGGGGGATGGCTTTAAACATTATATAATCTCCTCTAGATGCCACTGGTTCTTCACGCTCTGCAGACGTAGATGCCACCACCGCCATCTATTGCGCGGCGGTTGAACTTACAACTCTCGGTCTGAAGAGGCAGTTGGACATACGGACAGGGTTTGATCGTATCTCTGAAAGTTCGTAAGTCGAATGTACGTAATGAGAGGAGTCCGTGGAGTGCAGCCGATGTTCTTGCTTGGACCCGGCGTGCATCCATGATGTGGTGTGAATGCGCCGATGCCGGAACGGCGTGTTGGTGATTACAATCCCATGGGCTGCACAGAAGTCTAGCAGCCCCCGCCTACCGTTGTTATTGAGCTGAACTGGCTCGTGCCTTGAAATCACTCCAGACCAGGTGCCAGCATCATGACCAACTCAGGCATTGAAGTCACCCAACAAGATGACTCTATCCCGAGGGGCCACTTTAGCTGGCACCTGTTCCCAGGTGCCAGCTAAGTCAGGCAGTAAAGTCGTCCAACAGGATGACTCTATCCCTTAGCCAGCACCTGGGAACAGGAAGTTATAGATGACATCTGATTAGCCTTGCCTCCATCCCGTCACTGATTTTAATCTTCAGTATACAAAGACACACACACATGCACGCACACACACACATGCACGCACACACACGCACACACACGTACACACACGTACACACATGTACACACATGCACACACACATGCATGCACACACACGTACACACACACACATGCACGCACACACACATGCACGCACACACACATGCATGCACACACGCACACACGTACACACACACACACACATGCACGCACACGCACACATGCACGCACACACACATGCACGTACACACACGCACACACACGTACACACACGTACACACACGCACACACACACACACATGCACTCACCACACACACACGTATACACACACTCAAGCACTCAAGCACGCACCCATCTGGCAGTTCACCAGCATTGATTGGGGCGAGCCTTGCCCTGCTGGTGAGACACTCAATGTGGAAGCTCCTGCACACGAGCCGGCAGCGGCTGCGCGAGCCTCCATCCAGCAGTGGATGGACCATGGCTGCTGATGCTGATGATGGTGCTGCGTGTGTTGTCTCCGCACCGCAGGTGATCAGCGTGCCGGAGGGAGATTTCTTCTTCGACTTCGTCAGACACCTGACGGACTGGATCCGCAAGACACGGCCCAGCAAGGAGGGTGAGTGTGCACCATGACCCCACCCTGACCCCACGTCGACCTCACCCTGACCCCATCCTGACCCCACTCTGACCCTGCTCTGACCCCGCTCTGACACTACTCCGCGTGTGTGATGCGTGTGTGCTGCGTGTGTGGTGCGTGTGCGATGTGCGTGTGTGCTCCCTGGCAGGTGCGACGCCCTCCCTCTCCTATCAGATTTTCTTCATGAGGAAGCTCTGGACCAATGCCGTCCCCGGCAAAGACCACATGGCTGACTCCATCTTTCACTACCACCAGGTGAGCCTCTGCGTGTGTGCAGTGTGTATGTGATGCGTGTGTGTGCAGTGTGTGCAGTGTGTATGTAATGCGTGTGTGCAGTGTGTGCAGTGTGTATGTAATGCGTGAGTGCAGTGTGTGCAGTGTGTATGTGATGCGTGTGTGTGCAGTGTGTGCAGTGTGTATGTAATGCGCGTGTGTGCAGTGTGTGGAGTGTGTGTGTGTATGTAATGCGTGTGTGTTATGCAGTGGGTGTATGTGTGTAAAACTACGTGGCTGGGAGTCAGAGCCATTCCTTGTACACCATGGGGTGCAACAGGGATATCCTCTGGCTCCAACATTATTTAACATCTATTTCGACCACGTAGTTCGTGAAGACTTCAGTAGCTGTACCGGAGGAATTTCCATCTGGTACAGATACAATGGGAGGCTGATTGATGCCCGTGTGCAGTCAAGGGATGGCTCCCTATTGGTCAAACATGTTATGTATGCCGACGACCTGGTAATTGAAAGCTCACTCAGAGGAGGAGTTGGAGGCGCTGCTGCTGAAACTGGAGTGTGCCACTAAGAGGTGGGGCCTTACCATCATTCCCACTAAAACTAAGCACCTGCCTGGGTATTTTATACCATCGGACACTCCACCCCCACAACTCCGGTTTAACAGCAGAGGTCTCACTCCGAATCAGTCGAGCGGCATTATCTTTTCATCGGTTGCGTAACGCTGTGTGGAAGCTACCTGGTCTGTCACTCCGCACGAAGCTTCGGGTCTTCTCGGCCACGGTCATTCCCTCCCTTCTCTACGCTTGCGAAACGTGGACCCCCCTAATGGAACATCTTCGCCGGTTAGAAACATTTCGGCTGGCCTGCCTACGATCAATCCTGGGTTTAACCAGGCTGGATTGTGTGAGGAGCTCACAAATCTTCGAAAGATCTGGACAAAATCCCATCAGTGAGCACCTCCGGCAGGCAAGAATGCGTTGGCTGGGCCATGTAGCCTGCATGCCCAGCCACCGCATGCCCAAACAGCTTTTGTTCGGCCGGATCGAGGGGGCTAAACGGGCGCGGGACGGGCTAGAGAAGAGATGGAGTGACGTGGTACAGGAGGACGTGGAGCTGAGTGGACTTGCCGATAACTGGTACCAGCGGTGTCAAGATCGGCCTCTGTGGAGGAGGCTTGTGAAGGACGCTACTGGGCAGTTGGATGCAGTCGCCCTCCAACAACAACGGAGGGTGGAGAAGCGACGCTCACAACAACGAGCGGAGCGCCGGGTGGCTAAAGCACAGCAAGTTGGCACAGTAGGGGGCACAGGTGGTGCATCAGCCTGTCATCTCGGTCATCTCAGTCAGTTGACCCGTGGCACCTGGGTCTGCCCCGTGACCTCCTGCCAGCGGGCGTTCGACAATTCACGTTGCCTCAAGGTGCACATAGCCTGGCACAAGCGTCCTGGTGATGTCACCGCCAGTTAGTGGCGAATGGCGGTTGTTGTTGTGTGTGCGTGCATGAGGGGTGTTGTAGCGGTTAGCACGCTGTGCTACGAACCCCCGCTCACGACCAACACCACCAGTGACATTGATTTGAACCGGTACTGGGCCTCCCCTAGGTCGACTCAATGAGTACCTGGTGCGGTGTATGAACTGGGGAGACTAAGGCGGCCGGGCGTGGTGCTGGCCACCCACTCCGTCGTGTGCTGTGCCACCCTTCATAGGTGCTACTCACTAACAGCACTTGCCCCAACAGTCTGTTAAGGCTATTCGAGGGATCGCTGTCTTTGTGTGCGTGAGCACACACACACTCACACACTCACACACACACTCACACACTCACACACACACTCACACACTCACACACACACTCACACACACACTCACACACTCACACACACACACTCACTCACACACTCACACACACACTCACACACTCACACACTCACACACACACTCACACACACTCACACACTCACACACACACTCACACTCTCACACACACACTCACACACACACTCACACACTCACACACACACACTTACACACACACACTCACACACACACACTCACTCACACACTCACACACACACTCGCACACTCAACCCATGCCACCTGGGTCTCTACCGTGACCTCCTGGCACACGCACCGTGGTGACTTAGTGGCAAATATGTACATATACACATACACACACTTGGGTGTATGTGTATATGTGATGCACGCAGCACATACGAAGTACACACATCACACGCACGCAGCACACACGCAGTACACACAAACACACACACGCAGTACACACATCACACACACACCACACACACGCAGCACACACACAGCACGCACGCCACACACACGAAGTACACACATCACATGCACGCAGCACACACGCAGTACACACAAACACACACGCAGTACACACATCACACGCACACCACACGCACGCAGCACGCACGCAGCACGCACGCCACACACACGCAGTACACACATCACACGCACATCAGACGCACAGCACACACACATCACATGCACACACGTCACACGCACACACGCAGTACACACATCACACGCACATCAGACGCACAGCACACACACATCACACGCACACACGTCACACGCACACACGCAGTACGCACATCACACGCACATCAGACGCACAGCACACACACAACACACGTCACACGCACACACGCACGTCACACTTGTGCGTGTGTGTGTGTGCGTGCGCTCGCGCGTGCCCGGTCGCGGCTAGGAGCTGCCCAAGTACCTGCGCGGGTACCACAAGTGCTCGCGCGAGGAGGCGGCGCAGCTGGCGGCGTTGGTGTTCCGCGCGCGTTTCCACGACGACAAGACGCAGTACGCCAACCTGGTGAAGATGCTGCGCGAGCTGCTGCCCAGCGACCTCGTCAAGCAGCTGGCGCCCGACGAGTGGAAGCGAGTGAGGGAGGGGCGACACACGCGGGCACACGCACGCACGCACACACACACACGCACACACACGCACGCACGCGGGCACACGCACGCACGCGGGCACACACACGCAGGCACACATGCACACACACGCACGCACACGCACACACACGCACGCACACGGGCACACGCACGCACGCGGGCACACACACGCGGGCACACGCACACACACGCACGCACACGGGCACACGCACGTACACACGAGGGCACGCACACACACGCGGGCACACGCACACACACGCACACACACGCACGCACACGGGCACACGCACGTACACACGAGGGCACGCACACGCACACACACGCGGGCACACGCACGCACGCACACGCGGGCACACGCGGGCACACGGACGCACGCACGCACACGCACGCAGGCGCACGCACGTACACGCGGGCACACGCACGTACACGCGGGCACACGCACGCACACGCGGGCACACGCACACACGCATGCACGTACACGCGGGCACACATGCACACACACGCGCGTTAACACACGTGTATTGGTCGCCATGGTGGCTATGAGATGTTAACTACCTCGCCTGGTGTGCAGGAGGTTGTGGGTTTGATCCCGACCCTGACACCTGCTGCTGCTGCTGTATATTTGGAGTTTGCGTCTCTCTCTCTCTCTGTGGTTGCGTGGATTATTCCCTGGGTCCTCCAGTTTTACCTTCCACATTTATCATCAACGTCACCACGCGTTCAGAGTGTTTGGCTGGGACGCATTTCCACGTGAGAAGCCGCTTCGCTGAGCCATCATTAGTGATAGGTCGCTTCTGACAAAGAGCTGTACAGATCAGTGGGACTTACCTGGGAAGTAAAAATAGTTTTCGTTGAAAGTTTATGCGCGTGTGTTAACGTGTGTGCGTGACGAACCTGGTGACCCGAGTTCGATTCTCGCTCACGGCCAACACCATTTACAATTATCCGAGCTGTTCCTGGGCCTACCCTAGGTTGACTCAGCCTCAAATGAGTCGCTGGCGCGGTGTCTAAGCATCGCCACTGGGGAGACAAAGGCGGTCGGGCGCGGTGCTGACCACCCACCCCCTCGTGTGCCATGCCGGCCTTCATAGGCTGCTGCTCGCTAACAACACTTGCCCCTGCAGTGTGTTGAGGCTATACGGGAGATCTTTGTCTTTATCTGTGTGTGCCGTGGTGGTGCAAGGCCATCATCGCAGCCTACAACAAGCACGCGGGCAAGTCGCGGGACGAGGCCAAGCTCGCCTTCCTCAAGATCATCTACAAGTGGCCCACATTCGGGTCGGCATTCTTCGAGGTGAAGGTAAACAGACACCCCCCCTCCCCTCTCTCTCTCCCCCTCCCCTCCTATACCCCTCCTCCTCCCCTCTCCTCCCACCTCCCTTTCCTCCCCTCTCCCCCCTCCTCCCCTCTCCCCCCCTCTCCCCCCCTCCTCCCCTCTCCCCCCCTCTCCCCCCCTCCTCCCCTCTCCCCCCCTCCTCCCCTCTCCCCCCCTCTCCCCCCCTCCTCCCCTCTCCCCCCTCCTCCCCTCTCCCCCCCTCTCCCCCCTCCTCCCCTCTCCCCCCCTCCTCCCCTCTCCCCCCCTCCTCCCCTCTCCCCCCCTCCTCCCCTCTCTCCCCCTTCTCTCTCTCCCCCCCCTCTCCCCCCTCCTCCCCTCTCCCCCCCTCCTCCCCTCTCCCCCCTCCTCCCCTCTCTCCCCCTCCTCCCCTCTCCCCCCCTCCTCTCTCTCCCTCCTCCTCCCCCTCCTCCCCTCTCCCCCTCCTCTCCTTTCTCCCCCTCCTCCCTCCTCCCCCTCCTAGTCCCCCCCTCCTCCTCCAATGACGTTTCCGCGACCTGGGTGTCCATCTGGGTGATGACTCGTTGATGATCCAGCAGACGGTGGCGCCGTCGTCACGGTGGTGGTTAGCAGGAGGTGTTGGGGAGGTGGTGGTGAGGAGGAGGTGGTGAGGAGGAGGTGGTGAGGTGTTGGTTAGCAGGAGGTGTTGGGGAGGTGGTGGTGAGGAGGAGGTGGTGAGGAGGAGGTGGTGGTTGCCACGGTGACGCACGCTCTCTGTGTCCCCCAGCAAACGACGGAGCCCAACTACCCGGAGGTGCTGCTCATCGCCATCAACCGCAACGGGGTCGGCCTCATCCACCCTTCCAGCAAGGTGGGGGGGGGGGGGGGGTGCACGTGTGTGCTTGTCACGTGTGTGCTTGTCACGTGTGTGCTTGTGTGTGCGTACGTGCGTGTGTGTGTGAGTATTGGGGAGCGGTCGTGTCGTGGTTAACGCGCTGCGCTACGATCCCGGCATAGTTTGATTCCCGCTCACGGCCAAAATTGGTGACGATTATTTGAACTGGTCCTGGGTCTCCCCAAGGTCGACTTAGCCACAAATGAGTACCTGGTGCGGTGTGTAAACATCGCCACTGGAGAAACAAAGGCGGCCGGACGTGGTGCTGGCCACCCACCCATGTGCCGTGTCGGCCTTCATAGGTGCTCGTGAACAGCACTTGCCCCAACAGTCTGTTACGGCTACACGGGGGATCTTTGTCTTTGTGTCTTCGTGTTCGGCGCGTCCCGATGTCGGTGAGGGTGTTGCGACTCCGCTAGTCCCTGTCCGCACGCTCACCCGCGCTCACCCACGCTCACTCACGCTCACCCACGCTTACCCGCGCTCACCCGCGCTCACCCACGCTCACCCACGCTCACCCACGCTCACTCACGCTCACCCGCGCTCACCCACGCTCACCCACGCTCACTCACGCTCACCCGCGCTCACCCACGCTCATCCGTGCTCACTCACGCTCACCCGCGCTCACCCACGCTCACCCATGCTCACCCGCGCTCACCCACGCTTACTCACGCTCACCCACGCTCACCCGAGCTCACCCACGCTCACTCACGCTCACTCACGCTCACCCACGCTCACCCGAGCTCACCCGCGCTCACCCGCGCTCACCCGCGCTCACCCGAACGTGTGTCTGCGCAGGACATCCTGGCCACCCACCCCTTCACCAAGATCTCCAACTGGAGTAGTGGCAATACGTACTTCCACATGACCATCGGAAACCTGGTGCGCGGCAGCAAACTGCTGTGCGAGACTTCGCTGGTACGCACACACACATGCTCACACACACACACATGCTCACACACACTCACGCTCACACACACGCTCACACACACACACGCTCACACACACTCACGCTCACACACACACGCTCACACACACATGCTCACACACACACCCACGCTCACACACACACGCTCACACACACACGCTCACACACACACGCTCAATCACACACACGCTCACACACACGCTGACACACCCACACGCTCACACACACACGCTCACACACACGCTCACACAACAACAACAACCGCCATTCGCCACTAAGTGGCGGTGACGTCACCACGACGCTTGTGCCAGGCCATGTGCACCTTGAGGCCACGTGAAGTGTCGAACGCCCGCTGGCAGGTCACGGGGCAGACCCAGGTGCCACGGGTCGACTGACCGAGATGACCGAGATGACTGGCTGATGCACCACCTGTGCCCCCTACTGTGCCAACTTGCTGTGCTTTAGCCACCCGGCGCTCCGCTCGTTGTTGTGAGCGTCACTCCTCCGCCCTCCGTTGTTGTTGGAGGGTGACTGCCTCCAACTGCCCAGTAGCGTCCTTCACGAGCCTCCTCCACAGAGGCCGATCTTGACACCGCTGGTACCAGTCATCGGCCAGTCCACTCAGCTCCACGTTCTCCTGTACCACATCACTCCATCTCTTCTCTCGCCCGTGCCGCGCCCGTTTAGCCCCCTCGATCCGGCCGAACAAAAGCTGTTTAGGCATGCGGTGGCTGGGCATGCGGGCTACATGGCCCAGCCAACACAGCTTTGCCTGCCAGAGGAGCTCACCGATGGGACTTTGCCCAGATCTTTGAGCTCCTCACACAATCCAGCCTGGTTAAACCCAGGATGGATCGTAGGCAGGCCAGCCTAAATGTTTCCAACCGGCGACCGCCTCCAACTGCTCAGTAGCGTCCTTTGCAAGTCTCTCCCCTGTGCCACCACCACAGACACCCCTACAGATTACCTGCGATGCTGCTGCTGCTGGTGCAATGCGTGTGTGCGCGTGTGTGTGTGTGTGTGCGCGTCTCGGCAGGGCTATAAGATGGACGACCTCCTGACCTCCTACATCAGCCAGCTGATGTCCGTGATGAGCCGCCAGAGAACGGGGGGAGGACACGCGGCGGGCTCGGCCGGCAAGTGATTGAGGCGAGTCCCGGCACACGGCACCCGGCACACGGCACCCGGCACCCGGCACACTCTACACCACACCAGACACACGGCACCCTCTACACCGCACCAGACGCACTAACCCCCCCCCCCTCCCCCCGTGTGGTGCAGGGAGTGGGGGGCGCTGCTGCAGGTTGTGCGCTGGGTTGGCCACCGCTGTGCCTGGCAGTCGCACTACCGCGCTGCCGCCTGGGCAGGGCTCCCGCACGCGCCCAGCGGGCAGGCGGGCAGAGACGTGGGGGGCACCAGCAGAGACGCGGGGGGCACCAGCAGAGACGTGGGGGGCAGAGATACGGGGAGCAGAGACACGGGGACGGAGAGAGACCATGACATGCTCGCACAGAGATACGCAGACACACAAACATACAGACACACGGACATACACACGGACACACAAACATACAATCTCACCGACACACAAACAGGCGCACACATCGCAGACACACACACAGACGACAGATACACAGACGGACACGCAGACAAGCAAACGTACAGACTCACAGACAGGCACACAGACAGACTCTCAGACAGGGAAAGATACAGACACACAGACACACACACAGACACACACACAGACAAACACACAGAGAGATACACAGACAGACACACAGACACACACACAGACAGACACACAGACACACACACAGACAGACACACAGACACACACACAGACAGACACACAGACACACACACAGACACACACACAGACACACACACAGGTGCAGAGGTGGACCATTGCAGCAGAGGCAGCCACCTGGGAGATGAGTGGCTCAGAGTGACACCTCTTGAGGAAGACAGCTCCTCCAGCTACGACGAGCACATGTGATCCTACAGGGGACAGGGAGAGACCCTACAGGAGAGAGGGTGACCCTACAGGAGATGGGGGTGACCCTACAGGAGACAGCTGGATCCTATAGGAGATGGGGGTGACCCTACAGGTGACAGAGCAGGCTGAGAGACACGAACACATACACACACATTCACACGCACACACACAGACACACCATACACACACACACACCACACACACACACACCACCATACACACACACACACCACACACACACACACCACCACACACACCACACACACACACACCACCACACACCAACACACCACCACACACCAACACACACGCACATCACCATACACATGTTCACACACACACACCACCACACACCAACACACACACACGCCACCATACACACGTTCACACACACACCAACACACACACACCACCACACACCAACACACACACACCAACACACACACCACCAACACACACACCAACACACCACCACACACCAACACACACACCAACACACACACCACCACACACCAACACACACACACCACCACACACCAACACACACACCAACACACACACCACCACACACCAACACACACACCACCACAAACCAACACACACACGCCCACACACCAACACACACACACCAATACACACCAACACACACACCACCACACACCCACACACACCACCACCACACACCAACACACACACCAACACACACACACCACCACACACCAACACACACACCAACACACACACCAACACACACCACAAGTTACAGTGCTCACTGACGGTCCCTGCTTATGCCGCTGGTGTAAATTCCGAACACACACACTCACGCACTCACGCACACACACTCACGCACGCACACACACACACTCACGCACGCACGCACACACACACACTCACGCATACACACTCACGCACACACACGCACACACACTCACGCATACACACTCACGCATACACGTACACACTCACGCATACACACTCACGCACACACACTCACTCACGCACGCACACTCACGCACACACACACACTCACGCATACACACTCACGCATACACACTCACGCATACACGTACAGACACGCATACACACTCTCGCACACACACTCGCACACTCACTCACGCACGCACATACACTCACGGATACACACTCACGCACACTCACTCACGCACACACACTCACGCATACACACTCACGCACACTCACTCACTCACTCACGCACACTCACTCACTCACTCACGCACACTCACTCACACTCACGCACACTCACGCATACACACTCACGCACACTCACTCACGCACACTCACTCACGCACACACACACACTCACGCATACACACTCACGCATACACACTCACGCATACACGTACAGACACGCATACACACTCTCGCACACACACTCGCACACTCACTCACGCACGCACACACACTCACGGATACACACGCACACTCACTCACTCACGCACACACACTCACGCATACACACTCACGCACACTCACTCACGCACACTCACTCACTCACGCACACTCACTCACACTCACGCACACTCACGCATACACACTCACGCACACTCACTCACTCACTCACGCACACTCACTCACACTCACACACACTCACACACACTCACACACACTCACGCACAACAACAACCACCACTTGGTTACGTCACCGCCACCATGGCGCCTGTGCCAGGCCAGGTGCACTTTGAGGCCACGTGAAGTTTCCAAGAGTCGCTGGCAGGGAGGTCACGGGGACAGACCCAGCAGGCGCAGTGGCGGTGACTCGCTGAGATGACCGGCAGATGCAGCGCCCTTGCTGCACTTTATCCGCCAGGCGCTCCGCTCGTTGTTGTGAGCGTCGCTCCTCTGCCCTCCGTTGCTGCTTGAGGGCGACAGCCTCCAACTGCCCAGTAGCAGCGTCCTCCACGAGCCTCCTCCATCAGCACGCACGCACCCACACGTACCCACACGGACCCACACGTACCCACACGCACCCACACGTGTGATCGTCATTAGACACGCGTCTAATGACGCAGAGAGAGCACAGAGTTGACAGAGGAGAATTTGCGTGTCATCCTG